GGCTGTGTATCTTCTGCTGCCCTTATCCGATGGAGGATGTGTGCTCCCGTCGCCGTGGCTGGGGCTGTTTCAGGTGCACCTCCCAGCAACTGCCTCTCTCACCACTCCTGCTGAACTTCTTGCTGTAGTTGCCCGAACTGGTGCTGGAGTGTGCGCCATCGGTGCTCTTGCCGCTGAAATTCACGCTTGAACCGCTCCTGGCTAGCTTGTTGTGTTGCCATGATGTTCTGTAGCAGGTTGGTGATGTGAGCTGTATTCTCCATCGCATCTGTTACTGGTAGTGTTGTAGTGTCAGTTGGGTTCTCTTCTTGCTGTTCCTCTCTTTGTCTTTCTGTTGTAGTTGGAACTTGTTTTCTCGGAGGCATTGTGGTGTCCGGTTGGTTGTAAATCCTTTGTCTTTAAGGCTCCCTACTGGACTGGATGTAAGTACCGCTGCCACCAGTACTTTTTGTGTGTGTCATAGCACCCAAGGGGAGGTGCTAGGGAAGCCAGGACACTAGGAGTTCCAGTTTAACAGCCACGCCTTTTATTAGTTCTCTGAACCAAATAAGTGCACTAGTTACAAGTGATGAGAGTAAAACGCAAAAAAAAACAAAACAAAAACTGAAATATATTTACAAAATAAACGAGGCTCAATGCAGCCTTTATACGAGTTATTTATCCCCACAACTTAGGGCTTAACAGCCATAACTTCTGGCTTTAGTCTATAGATTCTGTCCTCTCACAACTGCTGCTGTTTGTCTGCAGGACACTTAAGGAAGACTTGGTCCGCTCAGTCCACCTCTTTCCAACTTCGAGCAAGCTCCCCCTCTTTCTGAGTTAAGCTTTTATGCATTCCTCTTCCTGCCAAACTTGATCGGACTGTACCACCCAGCGGTGACGATCTCCTTGCTTGCGTTTACCAGTTCGTATTGAGAGCTGCGGAAAACCAAACTGCTCCCCCCTGGCGGAAAACAGGTGGTTTCTGCTCCCCCCACATAGGACGGTGTTCAGCGCGCGTGTGCCCTTTTGAATTTCTTCCCCCAGGGCCTGAAGGTAAGTATACGGTTTCTTTATCGTCCTCTTTTATGTTTTCTTTAGGTTTCTTTGTGTACCGAGTTAGATGTTTGAGTTTTGTCATTTCACGTGTTTTAAAAGTGAAAGTTTATGCCGCCCGCTCCGATATGTACACTCTCTTCATGGAGACATTTAAACGAATAATCGCGTCCTTATACATCGTCATCTCAAAGTCCGTTGTCAGTTCTCTTTTCCTGTGAGGAGGTGTAGCCTCGCAGAACTTGTCTGGTGATGGTGACTCGGTCGTAGTCATCATCACAATCCCAAACCACATACTACAGCACTAAATGGTATGTAAAAAGAAAAATAGAAGACTGCCATTACAAATGCGTTCATTAGTGTAGTATGTAAAGCATAGAAGTGTGCAGTTCTGGACATGGCCTTGGTTACTTTAGCTTAAATTTCACAGAGCATGAGGGGGATGGCGCGTTGAAAAGTTGAGCAGAGCTGAAATTTATGCAAATGAATCAAGCCAATGAGATGCATCTTCCCAATCAGGAGGCAGCTGGTGTTTGTGTGCTTCGTGTCTGCAGCTCAAAATATGAAACACTGGTTCCGTTTTTCAAACATTCCATTGCAACAAGGAATACCAGTGGCAACAGCTAATATATTTAAACCCAACTGTTTACGTCCAACATTTTAAATCTGAGCGGTAAAACAATTGGTTCGATGATAATAAATTGGAATGACTGATGTTGACTAAGTGGTAATTATCAACGATTATTAAAAAAAATAGAAGCATTGCTTACATAAATATCGATTTAGTAGGACTACATTTCAGTTGGATTTTGCAGGAAACCCCCTCATAAAACCCATATGTGGTCAACTGAAGGAGGAGGATGCGTTTACATCAGTCAACACGGCGGAGCAGTGTAAATGCAGCATTAGTTACAAAATACATGGTTTCAGATTTGCTTATTTGAATTTTCTGTTCCACATGGTGTTACATTCTGGTGCCTATGCAGTTGCCTGCTAACTGCTACACAATTTAAGGTGGAACAAAAAATTTGTATGAGCTGATGAACTTCAGCTTCACTGTGGTGCTCGTAGTCATAGCCGGTTGAAAGAAATGTCCTCCGTGATCTGATATCTTACACTGAATCAAAGTCTGACCTGTGCTAGAAAATAAAACATTAAAAACGAAATTTTAAAAATGGAAAAGCCTGCTGTCCGTTGCTTATGTTGCTTTGGTTACAGTCACCATGCAGCCTGCACACAAAGCCCTGATCAGGCAAAGAAGTGGAGTTTTTATATATATTTTTTTTTTGAATCTCACTTTGGTTAATGATAATTAATTCACATATCTTCCGGATTATTGAGAACCGGGTAGAGAAGATGAAGGTAGAGTGCAGTGTTCTGTTTCTTAATAATAATAATAATAACATTTATTACCAATAATTTTTTTTTATTATTATTATTAATAATAATAATATAATATTGAGCCAAATATATGAATACATTCTAAGCAGTTATGTTATTGTTGTAACTTAGCCCTAAAACATACTTAGATGAATGTTATGAACCACTTTTTCAATTCTCCATGAAATTCACTGGGTCTAACCTGGCCATTTCATTCTGAGTTTTGGCTCTGGCCCTGGTATAAAAGGCTGCACTAAATAATGCAGTAGAGTACAGCAAGTACTATAGCAGTGGGGCAGATACTGCTTTTTGTCTAAAGGACGTTTAACACAATGTGAGTGTACTCCTCGTCTGTATTCAATGTTTTTACCAAACCTTGGTGATAATGTACAGGATGATAAATATTTATCTTTGAGCTGAAATTTTTTTAAATTGCAAATGTAAGCAAAACTGTCATACTGTACAGCCCCAAATCTTTTTTTGATTGGTTACCTAATGAGGAGTGGAGCTTTATCGCTGAAGTTGAACCTTTTTCAACTGGATCCGCGGGGATCTATGGCAGAAAAACCCACAGTTCATGGCGGAACGACATTAGCCAGCGGAATCCACATCCTGCTGTAGGATATTGTTTTATTTTGGGCAAAATACGCTCCGCCAGCTGAACAAAGCCTTAAATGCACTTTTTGTTCAGTTTATGCGGATTATTAACAGCATACAACAACATTGAGTACACACCTGTTCAATATCATTAAAACATTTGGTAAATTTCAATCAATTCAGTTCAGTTCAACTTGTAATGCAACTGAAGATGCAAAAAGTTTTTTAAAGAACAAAATGATTGAAGCAAATTAATGTAAAAAAGTAAACTGTTCGTTAAACTGAAATGAGTTCATACATTACAAGGAGCTGCAACAAAAGGCAGTACACCCAACACTAGTGGGATTTCTAGGCCGGTCATATACATAATCATTACATAATCGCTAATCGCAGTTTTTTGATCGCAGTTATTTTAGCTGACTGAGATAATTAACAGTAGTTAGATTTCACAATCATATTATGCCATTACATGCAAAATTTAAATTGAGTGTGTTGGGATGTGGCAATTAAATGTAAATAAGAGAAGGCACTAAAAATGTTCATTAAGGCCAATTAGGACAAAAAAAGTTGGTGCTGTAACATATTAAGAGGGCAGCACGAATTATGTTTGATAGCTATGTAGTTAATACTAACGGTTTTTAGCATGTATGCTAGCAGAATGATGTATTGGTTTTTGAAAAATTTATGCCCATTTTGGATCTAATGCCAACTACACATTCCAGAAAAAATGGGACAGGGGCAACAAAATTTTGGTAAAGTTGTGTAATGCTAAAAAAACACCTGGTGGTTAATTGGCAACAGGTCAGTAACATGTTTGGGTATGAAAAGAGCATCTCAGAGAGTCTGAGTCTTTCAGAAGTAAAGATAAGGAGTAGTTCATCATTCTGTGAAAGACTGCGTGAGCAAATAGTGCAACAGTTCAAGAATAACATTTCTCAATGTAAAATAGCAAAGAATTTTTGTTTTTCGTCATATACGGTACATAATATCATTAAAAGATTCAGAGAATCTGAAGGAATCTCTGTATGCAAGAGACAAGGCTGAAAGCCAGTATTTGCTGGCCATGATCTTTGGGCCCTTAGGCCAGTATTTGCTGGCCATGGTCTTTCACAGAGTGGTGAACCCCTCCTCATCTTTACTTCTGAAAGACTCTCTACGACTGCTTTAAAAATAGACATCATTCTCTAGTGGAAATCACTGCATGGGCTCAGGAACACTTCTGAAAACACGTCTGTAAAAACAGTTTGCGTCTGCATCCACAAATGCAAGTTAAAACTCTAAAACGCAAAGAAGAAACCATGTATAAACAGGATCCAGGAATGCTGCAGCATTCTCTTGGCCTGAGCTCATTTAAAATGGACAGGGGAGGGAAAGTGTCCTGTGGTCCGATGAATCAACATTTGAAATTCTTTCTGGAAATCATGGATGCTGTGTCTTCTGGGATAAAGACCACTCGGCTTGTTATCAGCGTACAGTTCAAAAGCCAAAAAGTATTACAGCAGCATGGCTCCATATTAAAAGAGCCCGAGTGCTCTTTGTCCTGTCACCACTGAAAACATTTTGTGCATTATGAAATGAAAAAAATGACTAAGGAGATCCCGAACTGTTGAGCAGCTGAAATCCTGTATCAAACAATTACAAGAAAGCATTTCACTTTCAAAACTATAGCAATTGGTCTCCTCAGTTCCCAAATGCTTACAGAATGTTGTTAAAAGAAGAGGTGATGAAACAGTTTCAAATTCAAAAAGAACCTCTAGTCTTCAAGTTAATTTTTTTGGAGTCTGCTACAGACCAAACTGTCCCCAAACCTATTCACACAGACAAAGATCAGCTGTTGTGCAACTTACACTATTTAAGTGAAATAAAAATATCAAGGGCAACTGCAGTGGCAAACTGAAATGGCATGTATGTCATGATGAATATTATTTGAAAAATGTACTGATGTGCTCTCTCTCTCTCTCTTTCTCTCTTTCTCTCTTCACGACCAGGAAAGCAAATACGAACTAAACTGTCCCAGGCTTTCAACCATTGGCTTAATGTACCTGAGGATAAACTTCAGGTAAGCATTGTTCTGCAGAAAAATACGAACTTACATGAATGGCGCGCCAATAGATCATTATTCCTGATTCACTAGATGCCCAAAAGTGTTCACCCTTTCAAATAGTGAATTCAGATACATGAAGACAGTTCAGATGGTTCATATTTTTGCTCTGTCTCTGTGCCACGTGACTTGGGTTGGAGATAAAATGTGGACCGTCTGTGGGGCCCTGAGGACTGGTTTGAGAACCACTGCCTTAAAGTGCACTCAAATTGCTACCGCATGAGTTCAAGTTCATTTCAGTGTGTGAAATGCAGCCTTGATTGTGTATGAATTTGTGTAATTGGCCAAAGTAATTTATTTCTCCTGATCAGTTCCTTGATTGCCTTGTTACGGTGTTTGGGTTACCTCAATGCGTATTAGACATTTTCTAGGAAATAAATATGTCTATTGACTTCTGAAGGCATTGGCGCTTATTCATCATTAAAGTCATTAAAGAAACAACAAACAAATATTGGTTTAGTACTTTTATGAACCCAGGTAATTTTGTGGAGAAACAAACGTTTATCAAGCCATAGCTTCTCATCAGTGGCACACAGCTGCAGCTCTGCAAACTGGAGTCAATGCAGACTGCAGTTTGGCACAGCTTGCAAGACTCTCAAAACTCCAGGCAACATTATTGGAGTTTTAATTCCAGGTGCAGTCCAAATGAGTTTCGTATTCTGGATTGCTTGCTAGGCTCACAAGTAGGCGCTCAGTCGCATTGATTGCTAAAAATAAACAATAGAGTGCTGGCTAGCTAGCTGTCCAGAGCTGTTGGGAAATTATTCATTACCAGTATTAATCAGTTTTGAGCAACAAATTAAATATTAAAATTTTCAAGATAATATTGTATACAATATTTAAAAATGTGAATGTTCAATAGTTGCAGCCCTATTAAAAAAATTAATTGTTTATTGATGTTGGGGGGGAAAGAAAATTATTAAACTTTATTTAAGGGGAGAATGATGTAAGTGTGTCATGTGAATGTTGTCCTAAAGCACTGGCTGCTTGAACTGTTATTGCAATATATGAGAAGGCTTTTACTTTATCTTTTTCTTTTCATGGAACCTATAATTGCAGCATTGGGTTATACCAATGTTCTTGTAAGAAGTACGTTAACCTCTTATTCACCAGGGTATATTTTGATTTTTCCATCTGAATTTACATGACCAAATCGTAAGGTAAATTATTCAGTGACTGCATGAAATAAATGTAAATTTTTATTTTATTTATTTAAATTAACAGAAAATGTGTTTTATGATCATACACATATTGCTATATGCTTACAATTTACTGCTGAAAGCCAAAAATCTTAGACGTTCTTTGTATTTTTTATAAAAATAATTTTCACAGAGCATATCACTGAAGAGACACCATCTGTTTATAGTTTATAGCCCAGAATTGTGGAAAAATGGATCAACTTTCAGTAGAAAAAAAAGTTCAGCTTCTTTCATTATAGGGGTTTAAAATTACATTACCCATCTATTTGACGGGAAAGAAGACAGTTACAGCTTTCATATAACACCCACCTTTTGAATGTAGCTTATGAAATATGAAAGTTATGAAGAATATGAGGAAGTGCGTTTTGGAACCACCGGTGGCCCCATTGAGTTGAAAAGGTTAACTTTAGTACAAGGATTGCTGTGGGTGTAATTTTAAGTATTATCATTGTTATTGTCTTTTTTATTTTTATAACTGGTATTATTGATGATATTAATTATAATTTAGATTATTTAACAAGCATTTTTCAGGTTATTTAAATATTACACTCAAATTTACTTACAGTTCTACTGGATGGAAGTTTGTCCAGATACACCAAAGATGGAACTGATGAACAATAAAACTGTCAGTGAAATTAGCATACACTCATTTTACAGACAGTTTTGGTACCTGGTGCACTTGCATTTAAGTTGTATTTCCACACAGAGTACCTTTTTGGATTTCCTCTCAGTGGAATCAAGCACTATGACAAGCATTTAAAGCATCTTATGTGTAATGGAAAATAGTACAGTAGAGCAAAAGTGCAGTGCTTGAGGTCCACAGATAAAGCAGGCAAATTTATAGGTAAACGCAAACCCTTTTGGCCCTTATATGTCTATGTTTATCTCATTTTCATCATCTTTTTGTTTCCCCATCCCTTCTGTCTATTCTTACATCTCAGAGAGAAAAATCAATGCAAATACACTTTGGCGCTCAGCCATCACTTCTTGAGCCATTTGCAGACATCTGCCCTCCAAAATGGAGTTGGATGGTTTATGGAGAAGGCTAGTGTTACTAGAGAGAGGGTGGCAGAACACAGCTGGAGGGGCCAAAGAGCTTTAATACATGCATGATGTAATGATTTACCATTTAGTGTCTCACTTTGGACAGTCAGACTGTGTGCGAATGACTTTGGATTTTGGTTTCATTCATTTTGTTGGCCTCTCAAAATCCAAGATAGCAGTATCATATTTTGGGCTGATATCATAAAAAATATACCGGATCAGGTATTGGAGGGGAAAAAAATGAATGAATCTGATTAAGTCCTGTAACAAATCTATCCTTTGGCGAAATCTTGTGCAAAGAATCTAAGAATGATCTTTCACTCAGAGTTCAAATTTGATAAACAGATTTCAGCAGTGTCGGGAATATTCAGGAATATTCGTACACTTAAAAAAAATATATTTTTGTGATTTAGAAAAAGTGATACTTGGAGTTGATGTTTTTCTCTAATTATGGTCTGGTTGGGCAGTATGACAGTAACAGTGTATACCACAGTATTTAAAATTGATGCCAGTATTTCAAAACCGTGACATTAAATATCTGTTACATACCTAAACAGACATGCACATATTTCACCCATTTGTATTTAGAGGGGCTCACTAATTAGTGTTGTCTCACTTATGGAAAGAGAGGAAAAAATGGTAGCCAGGAATACCCTCAGAAAAACTAAGAGCCCGACTGATATAGGATTTTTAAGTCAGTTTCTGATTTCGATATATGAGGATACATAAATCCAATGTACTGATACATCTGCCAATTTTTTTTTTCAGAAATACACAACATAAGCAAAGATTTAACAAATTTACCGTTTGTTATGTATGGTTATTTAAGAATCCTCACAAAGATAACATGACATAATTGCAGCAGTAGAGAAAAGAAAACAAACAAAGCTGGAATCAGCTTCTTTGAATTTTACTGTTCCAGCTTAATTGGTGTCTCAGGCTTCAGAGTGTAGAACTGCTGCACCATTTAAGGTGGAACAGGAAAATTTGAACAAGAAGGTGGTGAATGGGAAGCCAACTTCAGCATCATAAAAAGCAAACTTTATTGAGCCTAACCAAAGCTCAGTTAATTTGGGGGCAATATAACAATTTTGGATATCATGACTATCATAGCAAAGTTAACCAGCTCCTCTCTAGCAGCACTGTTTAACATTTATTAGTTGCTCTCTCTGACATTTATTGAATGATGGCTTGAAAATCGTGCACTGTGTGAGACTTATTTGGTAACTGTGTAAAGAGAGCTACTTTTTTTTTTTTTATTTTGAAATAACGCTAGACAAGATGGCAAAAAGTGACTTAAGTGACTTCCATCACCAGCAGCTCAGCATGTTGTGTAATCATGCCATGTACCCCAGTGAAATGTCGGGAGGGTATTAAGGTATGGAGAAATATCCGGTATCTATGTGTACACATTACAATACATTACATGCAATAGATACATATTGCCCAGCCCTAATCTATACTTGTTTCACCAGCTTTGAATTGAGGTCAGTAATGAGAGCACAGCGAATAGCAATGACATCTTATTATAGATATGAAGACACTTTGTGTATAAATTCCTGTTAGGGTACTAGGAGGATTTGCTAATGTTAACTACGCTCAAGTGATCAAAAAAACACATTAAACATTAGGTAATGTTAGCCTCTGGCCGCGTCCCAAACTGCATACTGCAACACTTAATAGTATATAAAAAATAAGGCACCACCATTAGAAGTGCTTTCAGTAGTGCAATATGTAAAGTTCCAAAGTGTGTCTTTTGGGATGCTGCCACACTGTCTAACTTTAACATTAGTCTTGTCTCAGTTATGTGACGCTAGAACTTTCTCAGTGTTAATGTTAATGTAAATTGTTTTATTATATCATTTCAGCAAAATGCCAGCAAAAAATGATAATTAAAACCTTCACAGGACACAACGTTACGGAGGTTAAACCTAGTAACCTTAAGTAGCCTTAAGCACTATTCGGATGGGATTAATTTTTTATGGGAAGGTGGGTTAATGCCAGTTTAACTCATCTGTAATGTTTAGAACATTTAATTTTGACGTTATTTTGTTTACCCTGATCATTTATGGTTTTGTCTTAAGTGAATGTACTGCATCATTAGCCTCGCCATTAGCTTGAAATTTCACAGCAAATAGTCAACTTCACTGCATAAAACTTTTTGTTTGTAATTTTTACATGTTGAGTTGTGAGTCAGGACAGTAATGTTAAATATCGTGTGTTGCTGCTTTGGTTAGCCAGAATCTAAAATGTTCTATGGTGAACAGAACTGTTCACTTATTTGGTGACCATGTCAGTGAACTAAAGTTTTGATTATTTTTGATTTTGAAGTAACATGACAAGATGGCATTAAAGCGACATAAAAGCTTTTGTCAATTAGGACGCTTTTACACCCTTGTATACTATATTCAGCAATTATATTTGGAGAAGTTTTGATGGTATGAAACAAGTGGATACTACCCACCCCTACATCACTGTAGGATTATTGTACTTTGTTGTATTAGTGTAAGCCTATCATCCTCGTAACAGCTGCAGCTGGTGCAAATTGCTGCTACTCAAGTACTCAGTGCTGTGAAAAAGAGGGAGCATATCTCCAATCTTAGCTGCATTACACCAAGATAAATTTTATATTGGACTTGTACATACTCTGCTCCTAGATCCATTAGGTCTTCTCAGCAGCTTCTGACTTTTCCTCGTGCTAGGCTAAAGTTAAAG